CCCTCGCGGCCCCAGGCCGACATCCAGAAGGTGTGCATAGGAAACAAGAACATCTTCACCGTGTCGGACCTGAAGCCCGACACGCAGTACTACTTCGACGTGTTCGTGGCCAACGGCCGCAGCAACATGAGCACGGCCTACGTGGGCACCTTCGCCAGGACCAGGGAGGAGGCCGCGCAGAAGACGCTGGAGCTGAAGGACAGGAAGGTGACCGAGGTGTTCGTGAAGAGGAAGGGGGCCAAGCTGCTGCGGTTCGCCCCCGTGTCCTCCCACCAGAAGGTCGCCTTCTTCGTCCACTCCTGCCTGGACGCCGTGCGGGTCCAGGTGCGCCTAGACGGGAAGCTGGTTCTGTCCCAGAGCGTGGAGGGCGTGCGGCAGTTCCTGCTCCGGGGGCGGCCCAAGGCCAAGTACCTCCTCCGGCTGAAGGGGAGCAGGAAGGGGGCGTCGCTGCTCAAGGTCCTGGCGAGCACGCGGCCCGGCAAGCACGCCTTCCCGTCCCTCCCCGAGGACACGCGGATCAAGGCCTTCGACAGGCTGCGCACCTGCTCGTCGGCCACCGTGGCCTGGCTGGGCACCCAGGAGAGGAGCAAGTTCTGCCTCTACAAGAAGGAGGTGGGCGACGCCTACAGCGAGGACCAGAGGAAGAGAGAGCAGAACCAGTGCCTGGGGCCGGACACGAGGGCGAAGTCGGAGAAGGTGCTCTGTAAGTACTTCCACAGCCGGAACCCACAGCGGGCGGTGACCACGGAGACCGTCCGCGGCCTCCAGCCGGGCAAGGCCTACCTGCTGGACGTGTACCTCGTGGGGCACGGGGGGCACTCCGTCAAGTACCAGAGCAAAGTCGTCAAAACCCGCAGGGTCTGCTAGTGACCTGGGTGCAGGCATGTCACGTGGACCTGTCACGGGGCCTCCAAGATGCGAGTGCCCGTGGCCGAGCGCGAGGGAGGGGTGTCCACGGGCGTCCGTGGATGCTGGCGTCCCCTCGAGAGGGGAGACTGGTCCTTGCACGCCCAGGGTGCCTGGTGTGCGACGTCACAGACAGACCCCCGCAGGAGCCGCCATCCCCGCTCTGACCACTGCATGAACTGCTTCTAAATTATTTTATTACCTGAAAGTTTAAAAGATGCCACTCATTGCACACATACCCCCAAATGCAAACCAGTCCTCTCGATAGATGCTAGGATATATCGATATAAATTATTTTATAAAGTCTTGTCTTAAATGTCAGTGTGTCTATGATCGTAAGCTATTCAAGTCTCCTGTTAAAGCGCAGATCGGATCTACGTCCTTGATGTGGACGGCGCTCTGGTCAGTTGTACGGTAAATGCTTATCTGTCGCGTGGAATGTTCAAATGCTGTATGTCTCTCCTGTGCGGAGTTGACACGTTGTATCCATGTACATAACATTAAAGATATTAGAGTCTATTCTGCTCATTTTCCCAAGCAGCGACCTTGGTGTGTCCAGTTAATGTCTGTCCCCCGAACTTGCGCCCTTATGCACTTTGGCACCGGCCCGACCCTCTTTGGATAGTTGCAGACGTGGTGCGTCTCCCTGATGTCGCCATGGCATTGGAGACGGGATGACGGTTCGCGCTCTGACACTGAACAGCTCGCGGTTGTGAGCACTGAGAGTCCAGAGGACTGGTTTTCACAGGACGGGCTGAGCCGAGCACTGCGGCTCCCGAGCGCCCAGCACCTCGTCCTGCACAACCCAGTACCTCTCTGTGTTTAAAATAAGCTCCTCCTTTAGGTGCAAACGTGGGGTAATTCCAGGTGTTTTCTGTGTGTGTGTAATTAGTAACGAGAGAAAGCCAGAAGCGGCTGTTTCGTAACATCAACAGTCCGACACTTTCCCCTTTGATTTTTCATGAATCTTTAAAAAGTAATTTAGGTGTCAGACAAAACTGAGGCCACGGGTGACGGCGTCCGTGTGTCCGAGGCCCTGGAAGGTCGGTGCTAGGTGGTTTCGTTCCCCGCACATGGTGCACGTGAGGCCGTGAGAACCAGGACTCGGACGGGCCGGAACCTGCAGTCGCCTGAGTTGTGTGACTTCGGGAACACCTCTTCCTGCCCATGTGTGCAATCAGGTGGGGACGGACCCGGGTCAGGTGACGCTATAGGCTACTTTCTTTCCATCATAAGACGTTGTCCTTGGTGGAACTCTGCGATGCTCAGTTACAGAGAGTTTCTGGAACTCCAGGTGGACACAGGTATAACCCTTCGCGGCTCCCTCATCCCCGACGTTCGGGCTCCACCTTCCCCAGGGGCCGGCACAGGTGCGTTCCGTGCGGGCAGATGGCTCTGGCCCAGGGGGTGTGAGTGCTGGTCCTCACGACAGATGCCCTGTCCCCTTAGGAGCAAGTGCCCCCCGTCAACATGGACCATCCAACTCGTCCGTGTTGAGACCAAATCAAAATGTGTCCCGTGTATCTGTGCAAAACAGCAGTGGCACCTGAAATAATCCTTTATAAGGACGAGTGTGTAACCAACCTAAAAAAAAAACATTGTTGGTTGAAAGTAAACCTTCAGAATTGATAACATCCCAGCGATGTTCTCTCCTGAATTATGAGCGTGGTGCCTTGGGAAGGGGGATCCACGGTCTCCCATGACTCGCAAATACGTTCTCACACAGCAAAGCGCTAAATCCACTCCAGTGAACCCACCATAATGCAGCTTCCGAAGGTGGCGGGCTCCCCGCTCAGCCGGCCGGGAACCAGGCCAAGTGAATTTCACCGAGTTGGCGTCTCCAGCCGCAGCGATGGCGGCTGCTACAGCCTCTGGGTAAATCCGAGCATTCTTTCATGCCCCAGTGAAGTTCGCCTTTTAAAAATGTTAGGAAAGTGAGAGACACATTGTGAAACTCCTGTCACTCATAAAGAAGGAGAACCTATTAATGTTAAAGCTCCGTTACTCACTCATGTGCTGAGGTTTTGGGAGCGCGCAGGTGAACTGAGGACAAGAGAGAGGATTTTGTTCCTAATTAACGAAAGAACTGGAAAGTAGCTACTGTGAGAACGCACCCACTCGTGTCCATGGAGCTGAGGTGTGCGTGTGGAGAACAGGGTGCGGGGAGCCCCGTTGGGACAGGCGGAGCCACGTTGAGGGGAGCGCGGTCTGAGCACGCACCCAGGTGCACCCCTTCATTTTTCAGGTGCAAAAGAGACGACCAGAGAAATACCAGCAGAGTTCTCGTAGTCGACACAGACAAGTGGTGGAATCGCCCAGGCTCCGAGATCCTTGCTGCAATATAAGTCAGTTCTTAGGGGGGAAAAGTCACTCGATCATTTTACAAAAGGAAACAAACGTTTTGCCTTCTTGTTGATGTCAAAGCAACCTGTCCTGAAAGCCCATTTCAGATTTCCTGAAGGGTGTGTGCATAGCCTATAACCGATAACTGCAAACTGGTAAGAAAAAAAAAACAGAATGGTTTTTATTTTTATTTTTTTATTACTGATTTCAGAGAGGAAGGGAGGGGGGGGAGAGAGAGAAAAAGCCCATTGATTTCCTGAAGGGTGTGTGCATAGCCTATAACCGATAACTGCAAACTGGTAAGAAAAAAAAAACAGAATGGTTTTTATTATTTTTTTTTTATTACTGATTTCAGAGAGGAAGGGAGAGGGGGGGGGGGGGAGAGAGAGAGGGAGAGAGAGAGAGAGAGAGCGAGAGAGAGAGAGAGAGAGAAGAGAAATGTCAATGGATCAGGGATCAAACCCAGAATCTGGGTATGTACCCTGACAGGGAATCAAACCCGTGACCCTTTCGTGCATAGGACGATGTTCCAAGCAACTGAGGCACACTGGCCAGTGCTGCAATCATTTATGAATAAAATAAAGGTGGGTGACAAATCCGAGTGTTCTAAGTGTCCAACTAAATCTTGGAAAATGAACTCAAGTCAAATCTAATTTTAATAAGTCTTATAAATATCTTCACACTATTATTCACCTATGGTTCATGTTCAGACCTTCAACTTTTTAAACTATCTTAAAACTTGTATATTTCCTAATTTTTGTATAATGGGTGTGTATTTTGTGTAATTAAAAATATATAAAAACTACAAAAAAGGCAAATTCCTGGAAAATTTATCATAGTAAAATGTCATTATTTTGGACTTTTGAATGAGTAAATATTTTACTTTAAGTGATTTTAATACATTAAGATAAATATTGTACATAACATAAACTAGGATAAAAATAGTGTTTCATGGATAAATAAGAATTATCTGATGCCAAAAATATGTAAGACAAACTTGTTATTATAAATATTTTAAACACTTTATCTTGATTAAGCTATTAATTTATACTAGCAGTAACAGGAGACCGACTTGTTGGGAAAGTCAGCTTCTGTCTATCCTTAATCACCATTTCCAAATAGAATCTGTTTAGTTGTCCTCCCTTGTGTTCTTTCTCTCTGTGAAGTGACAATCTTAGTTTCTGATTGCTGAATGGAAAGAAAGAAACCAAGAGCAATCACTATGCATAACTTCTGGAAACCAGAGCAAACCCAAAAGCAAGCAATTAAATATTGAGACTAGCTTTTACACATGATAAATTATTTGGCATAGTTGATTTGCTTTAAAATTTGCCCCTTAAGGAGTATATTTATCACTCTCAAATGCTTACATCCTGGTCAAGAAAAGATAGAGGGTAAGGGAAACTTAAGTTAATCCAAATACCATATTGAAAATCTGCTTATTAGAAAAATATTAGAAATTCTTAAAATAATGATGGTTTTCATTAGAGATATTTTCAACCTCCCTTTTTTTGTATTGTGATTTCTAGATGTGATAATAACTTTCCTGTTTACTTTTCTTTCATTTATTTCCCATTATTAGCTCAGTGGCCATATTACTATTTGAGGATTAAACAATAATATAAATGGTAGAATTATAGTTATTTAAAAATTTATTTTTGTCTTTCATACCTTTATATATTTGCTACCTTTTTATACTAATGAGCATGTAATACTTTTTACAATAAGAAAGACACTCCATGTTATCGGTTAATAAACAAACAGTTGATCCAGAACCTTGTATCTTTCAGGGGAGGGAGTTCACTAGCTTTACCACCTGAAATCCTGTCCAGTGATCTCCCCATAATCATGAAGTCTGGGAAGACTCTACACCAGAGTGATCCCCCACCCCTTTTAGGGGAGCCTAGAAAAGCCAGAGACCATCCTGAATATCTCAAAGACTCCATGAGCCAGGAAGAGGAAAGAGCTGCTCAGATACTGTCTTCACTTCTCCACCTTCTCCCTTCCCCTTGCCCGCCTCCACCTTCGTAATGAAGAAATGAGTATAATTTTAAAAAATTCATTAGGAAAATATTGTAAACCAAAAAAGTGTATGTGTGCATTTTTTTACTCATTCATTCATTTATATTGTAAATATCTTCACGTTATTATTCACCTATGGGGAGGAGAGAAAGACTCACTTTGCTATGTATACACTTGACACCTTTTGACTGACCATGTATACGTAATTACCAAAAGTAAATTAGGTAGTCTACAAAACTCTCTCTCCTAAATGCTCCTCCCAAGATGTTCACATGCTTTCCCCCTCACTTTATTCAGATTCTGCTCAATTGCAACCTTCTCAGTGAGATCTTCTGCCCATTCCCCCAACCTCTGACTTCCATTACCCCCTTACCAAGTTCTTTTTTCTTCACCTGACATAACCTCTGGTACCTCTTTGTTTATTGCCTGCCTGTCCTGACTAGTATTTTTAAATTCTGTGAGAGCAGGGACTTTGTTTTGTTTGTTGCTGTATTCCAGGAGCTCAAGCTAGTGTCTGGCATGTGGTGGGTACATAATATGTATTTGCGGATGAATGAGTGAATGACTTGTCAGTCATCCTTTGCCTTTGCTTTCTGAGTCTACTCAGTCACTAATATCTGTAATTCTTCATAATGACTTTCATAGTTTTCCTTCCTTCTCATTATCAGAACCTCAGTCTGCTCCTCAAATCTGCCCTGAACACTGTGTCAGTTAATATTCCTAAAATCACTTTCCCTTGCAGATAAAAGAGAATATTTATATTTACTTTCTCTGTTTC